AAATTATGGGTGGCATATTCACATGAGATGATGCCACCATAAAAGTGAACTATTCTATAGTTTTGATAGACAGACAGATTTTTATTTATTTAAGACTTCATGCCTTTTTGTAAATCCTAGCTGGTGCCAAATCAGATTAAGTAAGATACTAACCTGCCATTTAAACCTCTGCTGATGGTTCTTAACCATCCAAGTTTTCCTATTTAACATCCAAGTTTCCCATTTCTAGGGAAATGTAAACAATAACCTGAGATGAAAATAATATCATGAATGGCATTCTTTCCTTTAATACTTATTTACTGAGCTTCTGCTCTGTAAAAGGTACTATTTGAAAAGAAAGAAAAGAAAGAAAGAAAGAAAGAAAGAGAGAGAGAAAAGGAAAGAGTCTGACCACAGACCTTCAAGATGCTTACAGTAAAGAAAATCAGACCATAAAACAGGGTTCCAGGGCATTCCAGGGGAAGATGTACAATGACTGTTGGCGCTTGAGGAAGGGAAAGAGTGAGCCTGATAGCACAATCAGTACCTCAGTGGTACTGGCGTGTACGCAGCCACAGGGAAAAGCAAGACGTGCCTGGAAAAGAGGCCTGGAGGCCTGGGGCCAGGTCTTGGTTGCTAGATTCAGATGGGGAGGTTTGGGCTTATCCAGTAGATGATAAGACATCACTCAAAGCTTTCAAGCAGGTTAGAGCTAGAAACTAGAATCTAGGCTCCAGAAATAGCAAGACGACTGAATGCAGAGGCAGTATGAAGGTAGAACTGGCAAAATGTGGTCACTAACTATGGAGCAGGATGGGCAGGGGTGTGAGGAGTGGTTTCCAGGAGGACCAGGAAAAAAATTCAGTCAAGAGCCCCTCCCCTCAGTCCTCTCTCTTGCCTGCCTTGCTCCTCCACATTCCCACTTCCATTAGTAGCTCACTCCCTCTTTATTTTCTCAAGTCTGAAGTTCTGAGCAAGCTTGCTTGAGAGGAGATACAACCACCGACACTTGCAATTTGATAGTGTTTGTTTCAAAGATCTACAAACACTTCCAAGGAGTAGGAATAATTGCATCCCATTTTATAATAGCAAACTAAGAGACAAAGAAGGGAGAGGGCAAATCACTTCAAGTGAATTCAATTACTGAAGTGTACAATATAAAACTGACCTATAATCCCTAAACAACCACCAGAGCAATCCTCAGCCCCACAGCAGATTATGTATGTTTTGTTTTTGACCTTCACTGAAGCACTTAGCAGAGGACCCCTTACATTAAGTTATTTATGTTTACAGCACTCTTATCCCACCTGAGGTGGTCACACATCCTGGTGAGTAGGGGCTTTGTCTTACTTGCCTTAAATTCCTCTAAAAGACCTATAAACGGCCTCAAACTCAAAAAGCACTAGATAAATGTTCTGTCAAATTGAATTTGTATAAAGAGTCTTAGGTACAGCTCCCACAGCTGGGCACAGGTGGGACTGCTGGACGGCCGCAGTCAACAGCAGAGCTAGCCATCGAAGAATCGAGGAGGCTCTTCCTGAACAGAAATGTGGGCTCAACTCTGCCATCAGCAGTAAGATCAGGTACACGGCCAGAGGCTCTCAACACAAGCAGCAAAGGACAAGCGCATATTTGTTTATGCGTTATCATTTTCAATATGGTGAATTCAAAAAGAACACAGTTTCTCAGATATAATTCCCTCTGCCACAGTAAGAAAGCCATCTCTTTGGGACAGAGCAAAAGAAAACCTAAATCATGACATCTGAACAGCGCTATCAAGAGACAATTTATATACCACAACTATAGTTGGGATGGATGAGACAAAGATAATTTAAGCTCATGCTTTCATCACTGAAAAGTACACGTGTAGGGCATGTGTAGCCTTGCTAACAGGGCTGCAGGGAACTCAGGGTTCCACTTATTAAAATACAGAACTGGTCAACTGGAGACTCTATAAGATAGCAGGGTAAAATGAAACCATGGCCACACTGTCCCTGAGGGTGTGATTAAGGGCTCTTTTAATTAGCTCTTTTCTGATCTTAAACTCTCACAGAATACCATAGTAAGGCGTACATCTTCAAACAGGCATTTTAAAGTTTCATCCTGCCTTTCTTTTTACCTCTTGATTGAAGAGGAAGAGAGGATGGTCTATGATAATTTCAAAAAAGCAACTCAAGGCAAGCCAATTTAAAAAGAAAATTGACAGATGAAAAAAAGGTAGAAAAGAAAGCTATGCTAGCTATGGCTGGGCATTCTCTTGGCCATAGACACCAGTTATGAGCTGCAGCAACTGTCACCTCTATCACTTCTAACCCCACTCAACCCACCTTTAATCCATCTAAGCCTGGAACCCAAGAGGGACAAGCCTGGCTATTCAACTTTTCAACTGCCCGGTTAAAAAAGAAACATGCCCTCCAGCAATCTCCTCTACTGGCCTTAAGACTGTAACCTGCTGTGTTTCACACACACAGATAAGCCTCCTGAGGGCAACATCAGAGCTTCATTAGCCTTGCTTCTATTCAGTTTTCCATGGTTGTTAATGAGTTTAGAACCAGTCGACTTCCTTCCCAGATTCTTCAGGGGCTCAAGGCCACACAAAAGAATGTTAATATATGAGGGTATCTCCAACCCATTATGTAAGACCAGTATTATCCTAATAATAAAACCATACAAAACATCACAGAAAAGGAAAACTACAGACCAATAACTTATGAATATAGACACAAAAATCCCCAACACAATACTAGCAGACTAAGTTCGTAGCATATAAAAAGCATAACCAAGTGAGATGTATCCCAGGAAAGCAAGGTTGGTTCAATATCCAAAAATCAATGAACATAATATACCATATGAATAGGATAAATGATAAAAAAAAAACAAAAACAGATGATCATCTCAATAGACACAAAAAAAGCATTTAACAAAATTCTACACATTTTCATAAAAAAACACTCAGCAAACTAGGAACAGAAGGGAACTTCTTCAACCTGATAAAAGACATCTATGAAAAACCCATAGCTAACATCATTCTCAATGCGAAAGAATGCTTTCCCCTAAAAATTTTAGGAAGAAGACAAAGATCCACTCTTACCACTTCTATTCAGTATTATACTGGAAGCCCTAGCCAGGGCAACTATGTTAAGAGAATGAAATAAAAGACACCCAGACTGGAAAGGAGAAAGTAAAACTACCTCTATTGGTAGGTAATGTGATCATATACACAAAAAAATCTTAAGAAATCCACTAAAAAACTATTAGAGCTAACAAATGAGCTCATCAAGATTGAGATACAAGATCAATATACAAAAATCAATTCTATTTCTCTATACAGGTAATGAACAATCCAAAAATGAAAAATCATATGAAAAATCAATGAAAAATGAAATTAAGAAAACAATCCCATTCATAATAGCATCAAAAAAAAACTTAGGAATGAATTCAGCAAAAGATATACAAAATGTACTCATAGTAAAACTATAAAATACTATTGGAATAAATTAAAGATGACTTAAATAAGTGTAGATATTAAAAGTTCAGAAACTTAATATTAAGATGGCAATTGCTCACAAGTTGATCTACAGATTCAACACAATCCGTATCAAAGTCCCAGCTGGCTTCTTTGCAAAAATTGATAAGCTAATCCAAAATTTCATGCAGAAATGTAATGGGTCCAAAATAGCCAAAATAATCTTGGGGAAAAAATAAAAAAAGAAAGCTGGAGATCTTGCATTTCTTATTCTTAAAACTTATTACAAAGCTACAGTAATCAAGACAGTATGGTACTGGCATAAGGACAGACATACAGATCAGTGGAATAGAACTAAGAGTCCAAAAATAATCCTCACATATACCATCAATTAATTTTCAACAAGGGTGCCAGAACAATTTAGTGGAGAAAGATTCGTCTTTTCAACAAACAATGATGGCACAACTAAATATCCACAGCAAAAGAATGCAGCTGGACCCCTACACCACACCATTAACAAAAATTAACTCAAAATAGACCAAAGATCTCCATGTAAGAGAAAAAGCTATAGAACTCTTAAAAGAAACAAGATGTAAATCTTTGTGATTTTATATTAGGCAACAGTTTCTTAGACATGACAACAAAAGCACAAGCAACACAAGTAATAGATAACCTGGACTTCATCAAAATTTTTCTGTTTCGGGGCACCTGGGTGGCTCAGTCGTTAAGCATCTGCCTTTGGCTCAGGTCATGATCCCTGGGTCCTAGGATCAAGCCCCGCGTCAGGCTCCCTGCTCAGCGGGGAGCCTGCTTCTCCCTCTCCCACTCCCCCTGCTTGTGTTCCTGCTCTCGCTATCTCTCTCTCTGTCAAATAAATAAATAAAATCTTTAAAAAAAAATTTTTTTTTCTTCTGTTTTGAAGGGTATCTTCAAAGGAATAAAGAAACAATCCACAGAATGAGAAAAAATGTTTGCAAATTTGTATCTGATAAGAAACTTGTATCTGGAATATATAAAAATGATTATAAATCGATAATTTAAAAAAGTCGGTCGCGGGGCGCCTGGGTGGCTCAGTTGGTTAGGCGACTGCCTTCGGCTCAGGTCATGATCCTGGAGTCCCGGGATCGAGTCCCGCATCGGGCTCCCTGCTCAGCAGGGAGTCTGCTTCTCCCTCTGACCCTACCCCCTCTCATGTGCTCTCTCTCTCTTTCTCTCTCTCAAATAAATAAAATCTTAAAAAAAAAAAAAAAGTCGGTCACAAAGGACCACATATTGTATGATACCATTATACAAAATGTTCAGAATAGGCAAATCCATGAAGATTGAAAGCAGACTGAAAGTAGAATAGTGGTTGTCTTGGGCTGGGCAGACTGAGGGGAAATGGAGAGTATGGGGTTCTTTTAGGGATGCTGAAAACATTCTAAAATTTAGTGATCATGACTGCGCCACTCTGTGAACATTCTAAAAACCACTGAATAGTACACTTTAAGTCACTGACTTGTATGATACATGAATGATATCTCAATAAAGCTATTATTAACAAAAGCTACTTTACCTTGAGGGAGTTGGGTCATCTTGGCCAAGGCGTGACATAATATTTATTAAGGTGTTAATTCCTATTTAAAAAAAATAATAAACAAGGAAATACTGTTAGAAACATTCTAGGATCACGACACGATACGTAGAAAGACAATTATGTATCTTACCCCAATTTGATTTCAAAAGGTTTGATATCTGCATGTCTACAAATTTGATCAACTTAGTTAGTTAAAACACTTGATAGGAGCAAAAAATTGTCCTAAAAAAATTCATCCATCCTTACAATAATGCTCAAAGTAAATGCTGTTATGTATGGGTCAGAAAGCACTACAAAATGAGAGCATACCAGGAAACTCTTCCTGGTGAGGATTTAATTTACAATAGGGATCACAAGCCAAAACACAAGAGTAGAATCCAAACATACCTTTTTTCCTCATATGCATGTGGTGAACTTTTCTATCTCCATATTTGGGCTGCCGAATTCCACAGTTAGACAAAGAATTTCTGGCATGATCAGGATTCATTCCAAAATTTAAGTGATGACTCGGATGAGTCATGGCCAGCTAAAATTTCAACAAAATAAATTTAGTGTTAAAAACCCAGCATAGAAGTACCATCTTTATATCATCTCAAACGAAATAGGAAAGAGATCTATCTATCCAGTCAAATTTGCCCTGATCTTTCCATCTTATCTTCTCCAGGGTCAAATTTCCAGAGCTCTGGTGCAAGCCCTTTTCTAAAAAGAAACCTAAAAATCCACATGTTTCAAAGGAGAATTAGAATAGTCATCACCTGGAAAGAAGAGCCATAAAGAAGGTAAGGCTTAAAGAGGGACTCAGGTTTGACAGGCAAATTTTAGCTTTAGTCTACTTCTTTAGGGGCAGTGTCAAAAATAAATAAATAAATAAAAAGTGAGAAACTAAGTGTTTGAAACACTTAGCAACCATTCTGGCAACCAGAATAGAGTAATGGAGAGAGCTGTGTTACTATAAACATCCTCATCATCTCGCAGAATGGAGAATCTCAATGTTCTATTTGTAACCTGCAAGATGAATTACTCCTATTTTGCTATTATGTGAGTGTACAGGAGAGTAATTCTTACCTGTAATAGACAACGATCTTGGAAAGTATATCCTATCAACTTGTCTAGATGCATTAGACATTGGTGGTAGCGGATATGATGGGTCAAAACAGGCAACATCATTGCATGCTAGGAAAAAAATTTCAGTATGTTCACCTCTATAAAAACTTACAATAATGCTTCATTTATTTTACAACAAACAAGAACCATTTTTCCCATCCCAAATTTCAAATGCCAAAGTCTTAAAACAGTTTACTGGCCGCGTGCCATCCTTGCAAATCCCCTCTTGAGGGATGGTGGACTATAGTTGCTAAGGGTATAGTCTATGGAATCACAATGCCTGGGTCTGATTCCTGCTTCACTCATACACTGTGGGACTTGGCAGGGGAGTTATTTGACCTCTCTCTGTTTCCTCACCTACAGAATGGAGATAATCAAGAGAGCTACTTCCAAGGAGGGGTGGTGGTTAAAAGGATTAAATGAGCAAATACAAAAAACTGCTTAGTACAAGGCCTCTTAGCCCTCACTCAAGTAAGAACAGCCCTGCTTCATCAGCACTCAGCAGGGTAACCTCAACGAAGCCAGCAGAATTTCTGTGCCTCCTTGTCTATCTTTAATGCTAAGAGAACGGACTAGAACTCAAATTCTGAAACTTTGTCAGGGTCAAGACATTTTTGAGAATCTAAGGAAAATTACTTTTTTCCCAGAAAAATGCCTATGTGCACAAACATGCAAAAAACTGTATGCAATTTTAATGGGTTCATAGACCCCTAAAAACCCATCACTATCCTCCAGGTAAGAACTTCTTGGCCAGATGATCTCAAAAGGCCATTCTAGGTTTAATACTTAATGATCTAATATTCCAAGGACAACTTTCATAAAACCACCAATACAGTTAAGTCACCTGAGGACATAGAACTTTTACTTTTGTTTCAATCATTTTCTACTTGGCTAAAGATTCCTTATTGGGAGATAATTTTCATAAAAGGCATAGCTTTTTCTTTTTTTTAATTACACTTCCCTAGAGCTCAAGAGAAAGAAGGAATCATTCTTATTCATCACAAACTAGAGGCTGGGCACAACCCACAGAATGACTGACATATGCTTTATATCATTTTAGTCTTTGAAATGTTTTCAGATGGCATTGTTTAAAAATACAAGAAAATGGATTTGTTTGAAACGGCAGGTATCAGTTTCCCATATTAACTTATAAGGAAAGATGCGTGCTCCCAAGTAGGAATTCCAATCAATAGGAAGTCCTTCTTTCCAGTTCAATTCAATAAATACATATTGAGCACCTCTATGTGCAAGGCTTACCATAGCTGTGGAAGAGAAAAACAATAAGGACACGCTCTTTGCCCTCAAGAGCTTCCCAGAGATATGCCATTATGATCTGAATTACTGGCATTTTGTCCACTTCATTTTTATAAGTGCTGCATTAAAAAACACAGTAATATGGAAACAAAATGTGTGGCCAAAGTATAGTATCACTTTCCAAGCATTTAAATTGCAGAAAGCTCAAGGGAGTTGATGCTAAAAACTCAAGGTAGAAAGGTCATGAAGACTACGCAGTGCACCTATCTTTCTGAAGTATGAACCAAACTGGTGAATTGTGCATTTTTTTAATACCTCCAGGGAGGGATGGATCATCACCTGTTAAGAAAATGACACCCTCTTCAGGTTTTATGCTAAGTGAAATAAGTCAATCAGAGAAAGACAAATACCACATGATCTCACTTATATGTAAAATCTAAAAAACAAAACAAACAAAAAACAGAAATGAATAAACAAAATAAAACAAACAATACAGAGAACAAACTGGTGGTTGCTAGAGGGAAGGGGAGTGTGAACAGACAAAATAGGTGAAAGAGATTAAAAGGTACAAATTTTCAGTTATAAAATATGTAAGTCACAGCGATGAAAAGGAAGGAATTGGAAATATAGTCAAAAATGTTGTAATAGTGTATGGAGACAGATGGTGACTACACTTACCATGGTGAGCACTACGTAATACATAGAGAAGTGTTGAATCACTATGTTGTGCAGCTAAAATTAATATAACATTGTATGTCAACTATACTTAATAAATTTTTTAAAGATTTTTTATTTATTTGAGAGAGAAAGAGCAGGAGTGGTGGGGAGAGGCAGAGGGAGAAGCAGACGCCCCGCCGAGCAGGGCGCCCAACGCAGGGCTCCATCCCAGGACCCTGGGATCACAGCCTGAGCTGAGGGCAGATACCTAACCAACTGAGCCACCCAGGTGCCCCCTTAATAACATTTTTTTAAAAAAAAAAAAAAAGGAAAGAACACCCTCTTTAGGGTACTCTGATGAGTACTAATTAACATTTAGCCCAAATCTCTCTTTTGAAGGTTTATCCCTTTGAACCTAGCTGTATCCCTAGATACAAACAAAATACATGTAACAGTAACGTTTCCACATCTTCTCTTTGTTAATCTAAGTCTTATTTCCTTTAACCTTCAAGCATGTGAAACAGCTTTGAGTCCCTACACTATGTCCTCTAAACCTGCTCCAAAAAGAACCAGTTTCTCTTTCCAGGTAAGTCTATTTCTTGTGAATACCACTAAAAGGTATATATGACGTATATATGACCCATGTCTATCTTGTAACACAGACAACAAAGTCTCAATGTTATCTATAAGACTTAAAATCTCTAGCTCAGATTTTTAATTTTTTTTTAAGATTTTATTTATTTATTTGACAGAGAGAGAGAGAACACAAGTAGGCCAAGCAGCAGGCAGAGATAAAGGGAGAAGCAGGCTCCCCGCTGAGCAGGGAGCCCAATGTGGGGCTCAGTCCCAGGACCCTGGGATCATGACCTGAGCCGAAGGCAGACATTTAACCAACTGAGCCACCCAGGCACCCATAGCTCAAGCTCAGTTTTTTTAAATTCTCAATCTTTGCAATGTTGAAATACATGTAATCAACAAGCATCTCCCCCCAACCTGCCAATTCAGGTATGGCGAACGTTTTCATTAAAAAAAGCTCCTTTCAAGATTGTACGGAAATGGCTGTATGTGTAGTTTTCGAAGCTATTTAAATTCTCTCATAAACTGAGCAACTAGAATAGCAAAACAGACCTATAAACAATATGAACAATAAAAACTAGACAACAAGGTACCCCCTTGAACGCCTAAATAAGACAAAGACCTAGGAGGTCTCAGCATCTGTGAGAGAAAAAAGAGAGCGCAGCAGGGCTTCTGACAGCCCCGAGAATGCAAGAAACCCCAAATTAACATATATTCATCGAAAATGTAATCAAAACTGGAGAGGGCTCTGCAGAGTCCAATCTACTGGGTGAGTACGAGAGGACAGTGTAATGGTGCAAGAATGCCGAGGCCCCATCAATGCTCAATGAAAAACTGAACTTCCCTTCCAGGGTAAAGCCCCATGGTGTGAAGAAAGTGCTGGGGGTAAAAGCCACATTTAGCAGGAGAGGAACAATAAAGGGCAAAAGAAAGAGAGAATCCAGATAAAAATAGGGAAGGGAAGCAGTGGGGGCAGGTCTCAGGTATTATAAGGCCATTTTTTTTTATCACTTTGCAGAAGGAGGGGCTAAGTTGGCTTATACCTCCTTCCTAAAAGTACAGGAAAATATTTCACTTACTTATTTAACATTATTTAACTTGAAGAGCAACAGAAAAGAATCATGATCAAATACCACCCAAGGATTTTATCAGAAAATAGAGAAAAGGAATAGAGTAAGATTCCTCAGATAATTAAAAAAAAAGCCAGAAAAACATGCCAACAAAACAGATGAAAGCTGTGACCTAACATTTCAAAACAAGGTAAACAAAATCAAGAAAGCAACAGGAGCTATAAAAGAAAACTACAAATAAATATTAGAGTAATTCAGAAATGAAATGACTGGATGAAAGGAAGATTTGAAAAGAAGTGACAAAACTCAGGGAAAAGACATAAAAGGAAATAATCATTTTAAGAACAGAGACTAAAGAGAATGAAGACAACAGCAAATTAACCACGGAGAGTGCTTTGAGAAATAAAAGATAGGAAAAGGAAAAATTTTAGAGAAATAAAAAATCAAAAGAGAGTACGACAGATACAGGAAACAAGCAAAGAAGATACATGATGCATATAACGGGAATCCTTAACGAAAACCAAAACAAGACAGAATCGTGAAATGTGTAATTCAAGGAAATATTTCTGAGATAAAAGATGGCCTGAAAGTACATATTGAATGGGTACACAGTATATATGAAAAATTTAACCAAAAAAGGCTGACAGCAATGCTGTCAGAAAACAATGAGAACGTATTTAAGATGTTGAAGAAAGAAAACATAAACCACAAATTTTATATCCAGTTTAAATGGCCTTTATATTTAAAGACAAATGGTTAGGAACATGCAGGACCTCAAGGATCACTGTTTTAATAAGCCCCTCTTAAGGCATCTGCCAGAAATGAGCTCAATCAAAAATAAAGGGAGGTGGCGGGATAAATACTGCCATATAAACTAGCAATTACCTTCAAGTATATTTTTACCTGCAGATAATCATAAGTGAGTCAATATTATAGAAAATGCCTAATACTCTACAGATTATACAACTATCAGAAAATGAGGGGAGAATGTCAAGTCCATGAAGAGTAGGGATGAGGCTGTTGTGTATCTCATAGATACTAACTTGCCGCAAAAGGATAATCACTTCAAATTAGATGCTGGATGAAAGGAGCACAAGAAATAGTAAACAGTAGTCATTTTCAGTAATGGACAATGGGACACACACACACATAGCGGAGGGAGAAGTTTCATTAGATTACAAAGGTGTTAATATAAAGATAACCATTAGAACAGACTTATAAACCTCCCTAAATATAAAGAGATATAAAAAGAAAATAAAAAAGCAAAGAAAATGGACCTCATAGTGACCACATAACAAAAAACAGTTTGATAGAGGGGAGGCCAAACAAGAACGTGTGTGTGTGTGTTTGCTTGTATTAAAAGGAAAATTAAATCATTTCTAAAAGATGGCTACCTTAGGGGTTCGGGGTGGCAAGAATGGGGTAGAAGCAAGAGAAACAAATTAGATTTTCAAAAACAGACTTGGCTTTGTAAACCTGAGTTTGGAATTATGGTAAATATTTTACAGATTT